GGGTCCATAAGGGGGTCCATATGGGGGTCCATAAGGGGGTCCATAAGGGGGTCCATATGGGGGTCCATATGAGGGGTCCATATGAGGGGTCCATATGAGGGGTCCATATGAGGGGTCCAGCGATTGAACCCTCCCGGGCCAGAGGAGGGAATAAACCCAAAGTATCTGGATAACCTCCCCCCTCCCCTCACTCCCCCAATCAAGAGGAAGACCTTACAAACTTTTTTCACATACAATGCGGAATCCAGCAATCATCCTATCCAGACATGCACTACACGGCTACCATGAATTAACTTTTTCGAATCACGTTCACACAGCTTCTGTGAATCTGAAGCCATTAACAAAAGGACAATCAAAGAAAGGAGAGGAGGGAGGAAAGACAGAGGCTAAGGTCACTGGATATGTGTCTCCTGGGAAAGCACGTTACTTTACTTTGCCAAAAGAGATACTTTTCAAAACACAAAATATATCCATAGAGGTAAGAATATATAAAAAACGATCAACGTTTACATACGATACATAGAAATAACAACAACAACAACAAAACAAAAACAAAAACAAAAACAAAAATTAGAATTGGAATATATAGATTAGCTGAAGGATCTCATAAATTTTATGAGACCAGCCTACAATGTCAGACAAACACTGCCCGTCATGTTCTATCAACAAAAGAGTATTCTATTTCTTGAAATCAATCAGCTGTATAAATCTTATTCCATCCTAAAATGCATGACAAACCGGGCCCATATGGTGAATCATTTATCCAAATTTTGCCATTCGGCTGATACAAATACCACGTGACCGGAAATGACGTTTCCCCCTCCATGTAATCTAATCCCAGGTAAAGCCAAAGTATGGATCAGTATATTTGTACCTCTCACGGACCAACCAATCCCCAGGACCTGATGACTATGACTTCAAGGTCGAAGGTACTGTCTTAACTGCGCTCAACACTCCATTCTTATACTCTCTTTCATTTAATAGACCCCTGGCATTAATTTTCTAAAAGAATTGTTCTGGGGGACAAAACAATAGGCTATTTTTTTCTTATGCAAAAAAAACAAAAAAAACTAAAAAAAAAATGCTTTGTTTTGTCCCACAGAGCAATTCCTCTCGGGTTTAAGTGCAAGGGGTCTATAAGGTCTATACACCCCTTGCAGTACGTTGGAATGCAGCTCAATCTGGGGGACAAAAACAATAGGTTCCAATTCTCAAAGATTGGAATTCTTATTTTGTTTTGTCTCCTAGATGGAGCCGCTTTTAACGTCAAATGCAAGGGGTCTATAGACCTTTCCCAAAGTCCAAAAACACTAATAGCTTCAAGTCGATGTTGGACATGATGTGTTATGTTAACTGTTCTTCTCACAATCGCATAATGGCAGTCATGACAGGAGGCAGGAACAATTGAATCTGGTCTAATCTGATTTACATGAGAAAGAATTATATTTTCCAAGTAGACAAGAAAGACGTTGTTGTGCCTCCTGTCATAGCTGCTATCACGTGATGGTGCAAAGCCTTTGTAGGTGAACGTTTTGTTTACAACCATTTGCCATAATTTTCATATTCCAGTTTCTGATGCTGATGCATCAATTTCCAGGAAGAAGAGAAGCACCATTATCCAAGGTAGTCGCATTCCTTGCTATACTTTGCTATGCATACCGATAATTATGGATTTCTCTTTTTCTCACCTCCTAAATGCAAAATATATTCATTTTGTATTCACCAAATTTATGCTTTCGTTGCCAGGAAACTCGAGGACTCTACAATTCTACAACCTTTGTAAAGGTGAACAAATTTTATCAGAACTTTATTTCTGTACTTCTAAAAGTTGTATCTATCGATCTGCTGAACTGAAAAATAAGTTGCATTTTTCTCTTTCGATAGGATATAATGAAACAAATTGTCCTCCTTTGTATTTTGCTGTTGTTGGGAAAAATTCTTCAMAGTCTTGTTCAGGTAGGYAGGACTTTYACTCTGCTCTGCACTCCTCTCGTCTCCTTTCGTCTCCTAATTTCCTCTCATCTCCTCTGAATTCTCTCAAAAATTGCTTTTATTTTGCAGACCTTGATTGTTCCCTCCCGTCTCAGATAAAATTCGAATTAAAAACAGGT